TTTTTTTTATTTTAGAGATTATGGGGGTACAAATGCTTTGGTTACATAAATTGCCTTTGCACTGCCTGAGTCAAAGCTACAACTGTGCCCATTCCCCAGACATCATGTATTGCACCCATTAGGTGTGAGTTTTCCTATCCCCTCCTCCCCCTCCTACCTGCTCAAGCTCTGATGAATGTTACTTCCATATCTGCACGTACGTTTTGATTGATTAGTATCAATTTAATGGTGAGTATATGTGGTGTTTGTTTTTCCTTTCTTGTGGTACTTCAGTTAGAAGAATGGGCTCTATGTGGTATTGTTATGGTGGACAAAGCTAAGACACAGAGCCTGCATTCTTCAGTGTCCACAGTTCTCACCACTCCCAAATGTCATACATTCTGTTTACATACATATCATGTACAACCCCTGTCAGTATCTGAGTTTACAACCCCTAATCTAGTGGAAGAGAGTAATGATTCTCCATGAATATTGTGTGTTCTTATTTCAAGTCTTTGCTGTTCATATTCCCTTTAATTCTCTTCACAGTTCTAAGAAGCTGCTATGCTATTGTCATCTCCACATGGCAGAGGAGAAAACAGAGCTCAGAAAAGTGAAAAATCTTTTTTCCCAGGTCAAAACTGGGGTGGAACCCAGGCCTGATGACTCAGGGCCCAGCACTCATGTCCCTCTATCATGGCTCCTCTGCTAATAGGGTGAGTTACTAACAGGGCAGTGATGTGTGTGTGTATGTATATGTGTGTTATAGAAGTAAGCCATTTATAGAAGTGAACAAATCCAGAAGGGGATTATTTGCTTGAAAAAGTATTTGGCATTGAATTCCTTTCCAAAGTAAATCCAGACTACAGCTTGATTAACAGAAATCTGGTTTATGCAGGAGTTCATCTCATGGAGGCAGAGTAAGGTTGGCAGGCCTTTGACCTGGAAGAGGCAGGGGGGAAGCTGTGAGTACGTGGAGGGACCTTGTTATCCCCACGATGAACATTTAGGAGCAGGAAGCATCAGAGACTGAGTCTACATAGAGAATGTCCCATCAGCAGGGTCAGGATGAGAGAAGGAGTAGCAAGACAGGGAAGAATGGGTGAATTTGCAGAGAAAAAAGTGACTTCTTGGGGAACTTGTTGAATATTTGATGGAGACAGAGTAGCTTCAAAGAGATGACTCCAGAATGTGGGGAAAAAAAAGACAAAACACCTCAATTCACTTGTATAATGACACACTATGCCATTATAAGAACAAAGAAGGTCGGTCTGTATATGCAGATATGTAAACATAGCCAAGATACACTGTTAAATGAAAAAAGCAAGTTGCAACATGGAATGTAAAGGATGATTCTCTTTGAGTTAAAAAAAGATAGACACATAAATATATAGAGTATATATATTAATACATATATATGGGGGAGAATTTCTGAAATGACACAAAATTTTGTTAAAGGGGCTACCTTTCAGAATTGGGAAAGAGTGTGTGGGCTTTTACTTTTCACTTTCCCCTTTTTGAACTGTCTGGATTTCTTATGATGAGCATAATTACTTTTATAACATTTAAAACCTTAAATCCTAAGGTTTAAGGATTGGAAGACTGGCTAGGAGACAGAGAGAAGTCAGATATTTGGGAAGAAACAAACTCTGCAGTGAACCTGATGTGTTAGAATGAAGGGCAGTAGTGATGTGCAGAAAAGTGTGGAGGGTCTGAGGAGTTGGCAGTTGAAAGCAGGAGTAATAGATATAATTTCTAGATTACAATAAATTAGAAGAAAATGGTACAGATGGGAGGGCAGAAATAAGGATATAAGAGGACAGATTTTTAACAATATTAACTGAGCATCAGCCTTGGGTTGACCCGAATAAGACAGCCATCACTATTGCTGCTGGTTCAGCCTGGCAGAAACACAGGATCTTTGAGAGGTGGCCAGTCTATGGAAGGGATCCTTGAAGGGTTCCAGGCAAGGCAATTCTGTGGTCAAAGAGCAGAGGAGAATCACAGCAAGGCTGTTTAAAAGACTCATAGTGATAGGGGAGAGACCTGGGCTGGGAGGCCATTAGGGACCATTGCAGTAGTTCGGTTGATAGACAAGGTGCTGGAATGGGGCAGTGGCATTGGGGATGGAGAAATAAGAACAAAGCATATTCACACAAGGATTGGAGACAGGCAGTTTGGGGAAGGCGGTAGAGTGCAGAGAGCTGTGAAGAACTGGGTGCAAAGCTCTGCCTGCCTGCCATTCAATACCTTCTGAGCTCAGTTCGCCTGTCTGCATAATGTATTTAATTAAAGAAATGTGAATAGTAAATGAGATAATGCATTCAGTAAATGTTAACTATGGTTGTTAGCTCGGGTACTGGACTTACCCTTACCAAGGTTCTAGTCCCTTTATCATCAGTTACTAGCTGTGCAACCCTGGGCATGTCATTAACGGCTCTGAGGCCAGTTCCTCATTTGTAGATGGGGATAACCTGTTGTCATGAAAACGAAAGAGAGCAAGTAAACTGCTGGCAGGGTTTGGCACAAAGTAGGAGCTCAATAAATGGTAGAGCTACAAGTATCATTATCCTAACGGGTAAATCACTGAGCACAGAGCCTGGCGCACAATTAGCACTCAAGAAATGTTAATTCACGTTACAATTCATAAGGAACGCTGCCCAGCCCGCAATAAGGGGGCGCTCGCCGCACTCCCCCCTTCCGCATTCTCCGCCCCCGCCGCCGCCCCCAGTACCGCGTATCTTCTCTCCTCCCCGCGCGCACTTTCTGCCCAGGCCGGACCGCCGTGCAGGGCACTTACCCTCGCTGCTGCCGGCCACGTCCAGGGTCGTCGCAGCGAGGAAGCTCTCCGCCGTGCTCCTGATGCTCCGCGTCCCCGCCTTCCGCAGCGGCTGCCGCCGGGCCAAGCACAGGCCCCAGGCATAGTTTTCCCATCCCGTCATGGGCGGGAGCTCCCTCCTCCCGGTCACGTGGGCCGGCCCGTAGCGGTTTGGAAAAAACTTACAGTGACAACTTGGCTGTGTCGATACATCTGTCTGTGTGCAGAGCTTGTCAGTGTGCTTGAAGGTTTTGTGCGTTTGCAAAGGGTGTTGGTACGTGTGCATGTGAAGAGACATCTGTCTGTGCGCATGTGAGGGTTTATCTCACTGTGGATCCGAGAGTGTGTGTGGGCATGGCAGCTTACAAGAGTACATTTCCCTGTGTACTAAATGTGTCTGTAAGTTGAGAGGGATTATGGATCGTATGTATGTGTTTAGCTGTGTGTGTGTGTGTGTGTGTGTGTGCACAATTGCATGCATCCAGATGTTCATCAGGGCCTGCGTATGCACAGATGCATGCCCATGTCCAAGATGGCAGCTTGGTGTATAACTGAAGTGCACTTCAGTTGCTGAATGTACACCTAGTGGCTAGATATCTGTGTGTTGGGTGCGTGTTTAAATGTGTGTGTGAGTGTGCATAATATCTGTGTTGCATCTGTAATTGTGCAGTGGCTCATTCTGTATGTTGATATGCCTTGTGCCTTGGTGTGGATTTTGTCTGGATGTGGGTGTACACACACATAATAGTGTGGACACAGGTAACCCTGTTTCCCAGCCCTCATCTCTCTCCTACCCAGAAGGCAAGGCTTTACTGGCCTCACTAACTCTCTAGCCCACCCTCAAGTCATTGAGTGAGGTATACCGTACTGGAGGGTCTCAGCTCCCAAGACAGGCAGAACAATCCTGTTTAGGTAGCAAGTAGACACTGGAGAAAAAGAAAATCATCAGAGGCCTGGCTTTTGCTTCTCCCTGTTCCTTCCACTGCTTTCTTCTACTGCTGCCCATATTTCACTTGTCTGCCAGCACATCTGGTTAACAGCTGGTATGTGACACAAGGTTTACAGTCAGAATTTTAATGCAGATATGCATTCGAATTCTAATGCTGGATCCACTGCCTTACACAAGTCAACCTTATAGATGGTGTTTCATTTTCTGAAAAGTGGGGACAATAATATTACCTGCACTATCTTTCTCCCCAAATTTGGGACACTCACCCATAAAGGTGTTTGGTAACCCAGTGAACTATGTAGAGAATTATTACTAATTATTACATAAATACTATTTGAGGATGAAAGTTTGTAGGCTCAACATTCATTCAACAAATATTTAATAAGCATCTATTATGTGTCAGTCCCTGAGCTAGATGCTGGGCATAGAAAGAAACCAAATAGGCTTGGTGCCTGCCCTCATGGAACTTAGAGTCCAGTGGAAGTGACCCAAGAGGTTACGAGTCAAGTGAGTGTTACTGAAGAGAAAAACTTTTTTGAGTATAAAATCCGGTGGCCAGAGGAAGGCTAGAAGGGTTTCTGCATCTTCACCTGAACCCTAATTGGTACATCATGTTATGAACTGTAAGTGCCATGATAACCAGGGAAGGGAGACGAGTGTGGATCAGAACAAGCAGGGAAGAAATCCAGAGAACTGCTGTCTTTCCTCTTTCCATCCTCCTATGCTCAACCCCATTTCAATCCTATCATTGACCTTCAAATTAATTAACCCATGGATTACACATGCAACAACTAAAATGCACCGGGCACTCTGCTTGACGTTGGGGTCACAGTGATGAACAAATAAGGAAGGTCTCTACCTCCATAGAGCTTATGAGGAGACAGATGTTAAATTAGCACACGAATACACGTGTAATTCAAAACTGTGGTAAGGGTTATGAAGAAAAAGAAGGAGATCATCTATGGGAGAGAATGATGGTATGGAGTCTGTGAGAAAACTTTTTCTGATTGGGAATTTTGGATAGATCTCTTCGGTAGGTAACATTTAAGCTAAATCCCAAAGGATAAAAAGGGGGTAGCCATGCAAAGCTGGCAAAGGAGGAGTGAGGATAAGTGCCAGGCAGAAGAAACAGTATATAAGAGCTACGTTAGCCTTTCTAAACATCTTTCTAATGCTCCTCCGTGTAATAATAGCTAGAGGATAAAGCCTAAACTCCCTAAGCTTTTTTTGTTGTGGGGGCTGTCCTGTGCATTGCAAGATTTTTAGTAGGGAGCTCTGGCTCCTATCCACTAGGTACTATCTACTAGTAGTAGCTCCCTCGCCTCCAGCTGTGACAACCAAAAATGTCTCCGGACATTGCCAAATGTTCCCAGAGGGGCAAAACTGTCCTCTGTTGCAAACCACTGTGCTATATGTAGCCCTGCTCTGGTCAGGGTGGTCTCTTTCTGATTCTCAAATGCACCTTCAACATTTATGTTTCTGCATCTCCACATATGTGGTTCCCTCTGATTAGTATCTGCATTTTGCCTCTCCACAAAGCCTTACCCATATGTCTACTAGAAGCTCAACACTTTTTCCACCGGGGAACTCTGTTTGGATGACTCTCATGTGTTTGGGGCCATAAGGAAAGAGTGGTCCATCCAAGTGCTCCGCCTGCCCTCTGGCCACAGGGGCAGAGGTGTGGGAATTACATACTCTTTCCTTTTCTGCCCAGTTAAGAGTCAAAATGGTGGGCATTCGACCAAAGTGAGCCAATCAATAAGTCTTTCCATGTGTTCTCCATGAGAAGTTGTTGCTTTTCTTCTGAATTGTTAACTGCAAAGATAAAGTCCTGGGCTGCCAAAAGCTGTATTTTCCTGCCACGTGGAGAGAGCCTACTTATGGCAGAAGACAATGACATCAATACATAAATAGAAGCAGATTCAAGAAGAACTGAAAGGTGGAGAGAATGCTATGACTACATTGTTCAACCCTTTGTTCAGATACTTGGGCTAAAACAGTCACATTCTCATATTCTTTTTCTTTCTTTCTTTAAGCTAGTTTGAACTGTTTCTGCCAGTTACCATGGAAAGAGTCCTAATGCAATATCCTTTAAAATTCCTTGTTCAGATCTCTCTTCTTTCCTGAAGTCCTCTCAACACAGAACAGTATGAAGAAAACGCTTTCTCAGAATTCTTAACTAGTGGTTTGCTGGATCTCAGCAGCCAATTCTGTGCTTCTCCTCCCAGCTCTGAGTTCAGTGAGGTCATGGTAGCTTGAAATCACCACAGTGGGAGTAATTATGCCACGGAAATTGGGAAATGCAATTGGGCCCTCTTCTCTTCACCCCAGCCCCCAGCCTGTTCACCAGCACACCGCTGTTGGATTTAGATCCCTTCTCAATTGTACTATCTGGACAGTAATCATGTACTGATTTGTGTCATCTCTTGCTTTTTGAAAATGGTGAAATTGGGAGGACAAGTACCCTCTATGCTGCATCCGAATCTTCAGAATCTCTAAAAAGGAAAGGTTCTGAGAAATAATCTGGTCCATAGTCCTCATTTCACACACAAAAACAAAGAGGTCCAGAGTCCTTCAGTGACTTGGTAGTTGTGGAGCCAAGATGAAGAAAGTCCAAGATCTTTTGACTTATATCCATTATTAATATGTAGGCTTTTTTTTGTGCCATTTTTCAACCCTTTCTCCAATTTTGGTACAAAAAATGTTTAAAAACTACTGATGAATCATTACAAACAGCTGATGGCCAAGACCCAAGTTGTGAGATGCTTACTTTCGACAACGGGCTTTGCAGCTGTGAAGTTCTCTACGGTGAGATCATTCCGGACGGGGTCTCAATAATGTGGCAGTATTGGGGAGACAGCTGTTCATAGGGAGGACTTGCTGCCATTCCACAGACTTCTAAGACAGCAAGGCTGGGGAACTATACTCACTGTCGTAATGTTGTTTCAGGGAAAACGTCAAAATAGCTTTAGGTTAAAAGACCACAATGTTAAAGTAAATGTTGGCTGCTCTGTGTATTGTGTCACTTAGAATGAAACAAGATCATCTCCAAATAAAGCTTGCAGATTTATAGAAATTAAAAAAATATACAGCAGTTCTGTTTCCAGGAACTTATTCTGAAAGTGTACATATGGATATTCATTGCAACCTTGTTTAAACTAATAAAAGACTGGAAACCATCTAAATGACCAGCAATAGGGAACTGATTTAATAAATCAATGCACATACATACATAGAGGCAGAACTCTATGTACTGTATGGAATTATCTCCAAGATATATTGTTTAGTGAGAAAAATAAGGGGCAGAACCATGTATATTTTGCTACTATTCAAATTAAAAAAAAAGACAGAAAAGGTGAGGAAAACCCACAAACATGCATGACTATAAAAGCATAATCTATTTCTGTAAGGAAGTAAGAAATTATAACACATGAAGTTGTCTCCGGAGAGGGGAATTGGAAAACAGTGGTGAGAGGGAGACTTATTTTTCACTGTTTGTCTTTTGGAACTATTTGATTTTTAAAACCATGGGAATATGTGACTTATTCAACACTCCTTCTTCCAATAAAATAAAAAATAAAAGTGTATGCTGCATTGTAGTTTTTGAAAATTCTTCCTTTGCTCTTACTGGCTGGATCTGGGGATATGGCAGAAAGTTTGGACAGTTAATAACAGTAACCACCTTACAATTATACACTTTCTTTTAAAAAAAACCTTGAAAATAGTAATTTGCTCCATCTTCCAAATTTGGCACCAGTATTTGCCCCGTTATACAGCTGAAGGAACTGAGGCACAGTGGCAGGCCATCTTCCTAAGGTTACACATCGAATGAGGGACAGAGTTGGGATGACTCAAATCTTGGCACCTATGTGGCGGCAGAGAGCTTCAACAAGCAGAGTAGTTTTCACCGGAAGGAAAGGGAGAACCAGAGAGTTCTGAGAGGCTTTTCTTACCTAAGGCTTCAGGAAAGTCAAAGCCTTGAGACAGCTAGAGTCCCAGTGCAAATGAAATCAGACCAAAATAGACACCACTTACATTCAACGGGAAATGACCCAGAAAAGCTCCGACCGGTTTCCAGATGTAACTTGAAGGGCCTCAGCTGGAGAGGCTTCATTTTGGAGTCTGATGCAAAAAGCTCTTGATGAGGTTTCTCAACTCAGTATGT